AGCCTTCTCTTCTCCAAGCCAAACAAGCCCAGAAGTAAAAAATAAGAACAAAGCATCACCTGAAGTTGATGGACAAATCCAGCATTAGGATTAATACAGAACCTTCTTTCTTGAACGTAAGTAAATGCATCCCTAAACAAGAGAAGGAGACAGAAAATACTTCAGTGGAAAACAGACTGTGACAGATTTGTGGGGCTTCAGGAGTTCAGGTTCCCAGTTCTGGGAAGTAGGCAGCCTCCTCAGAACTGCTTTGCTTAACTGAAGTTTTCTGGGCAGAACAGAAGGCAGTATTTGTAGCACACTCTTTGCCCACCCCAACCTCCAGCCTTCCACTTGCTGGCCTGTTTTCAACATGCAGCTTAAAACATGTCTTACAACAGCCTCTCGGGGTCCCTCTTACAGAGTGTGACAGCAAGGCAGCAGTCTGTGCAGGCTGCCATCAGCAGGAGGTCCTGCTTCTTCATGGAAGGGTGAAAGCAAACCTGGAAATGGAATCGTCTTCCCCACATGACAGCCTTCACCCAGCCTCAGGGGCCACAACTGGCTTATATGGCAATCCAGGACTGTGCATTCCCTCCAGAATTATTATCCACTGCAATTCACGTGACTTGAATTAACACCGTAACACCTACAGATACATCAGATTGCTTCTCTGTTCTTAAGTACCCTCTTAGTTATGGGACAGACCACTGACTACACAAACTGTGCTCTTACCTGTACTTCACCCCAAACGTTTCCATTATGTATGCAATAACTAAGGCAGCACTGAAACAAAAATAAAAATATGTTTTTCAAAGTCACTCAAATATATTCCAATGGAGTAAAATGATGATAAGCAGGATGGATATTTTCCTACCTTCTAGAAATCCCTGCGTTTCCATGGACAAGAACTTTTCCTGAGGAAGAAAAAAGCCAAAAACACACTTGTAAAAATGAAGGAAGTTCTTTGAGACACAGTTTTAACTTGTTACAAGCAACTACACATCAGCAAAGTACAGCCTAAGAATAAGAGGAGTGTGTTATACTTCACTCTGCTACTAACTGCACTCCGTGCATCACTACTCTGGGACACAGAAATGTGGATTCTCACTCCTCTGAGGATTTTGAGTAACAGCATCAGCATTCTGGGACCACAATGCAGACTTAGGCTCTCCATTAGGGAACACACGTGTGTCTTAAATGAAGGAAAGATGTATGAAGAGGTTTGTTTGCCAGTTGAAATCAAAAGAGAAAAAGAACAGTTGACTCTGCGTAATCCAGTTCAAGTCAAACAAAACTACCACCTCCTCCCCCCCCCAAAAAAAATGTAAGAAAGCCTCATGTTTAAGAACATCTACCACACACATCTTAGAAGGCTTTAAAGCTTTAAGAGCAATGTACTGGTCAATAAAGGGAAAAGTCAATCTGATTTACCTCCACTTTGTAAACTTCCATCAATAAATTCTTTAGTCTAAAAATAGGAGAAAAAAAAAACAACATCAAAAGACTCAAACTTTTGGATTTTTTATAGATGTTCCTACTGCTTGCATTTACATTTTGCAGAAATGTTTGCCTTGGTCTTTACACAACCATTCGCTTTATTTACGCAGGCTCAGACTTCACTTCAGCTGAACATTTTGATTTGTACTACAGCTTCTTATCACCCATAAAACAGTCAATGAGATGCAGCAAGGCACGTTAGGGCACTGTGATACAAAGCACCTTCCAGACACCTTTGGTTGACACTTGTGGGGCAAGGAGAAACCACAAGCATCAACACCAGCATGGCCTGGACCACACTACTACTGATGTCTTTGTCTTCCTAAGGCTCTCCAGTGACATTTTCAATTACAAACGCAGGTCTAAGCAATCTAATAAGGCATGACACGATCCAGTGAGGTCTGTAGAACAGTACCAGGTTGAAACAGTTCACGGAACGAACAGCAAAAGCTAGATTATTTATTGCGGGGAAGATTCCTAGTAGCAATAAAGCACAGAATCATAGAATGGTTTGGACTGGAAGGGACTGCAAGGATCATCTAGCTCCAACTCCCTGCTACAGGCAGGCACACCTCCCTCTAGAACAGGTTGCTCACAGCCCCATCCAGCCTGGCCTTGAACACCTCCAGGGATGGATGGGGCACCCACAGCTCCCTGTCTTTCTTGTACTCCGGACCTGGACACAGTACTGCAGGTGGGGCCTCACACAGGCAGAGTAGAGAGGGACAATCACCTCCCTGTCCCTGCTGGCCCCTCTTCTGATGGAGCCCAGGATACCAGCTTCCTTTAGGACAAGGGTTTCCAAAATATCTCTTATCCTCCCATGAACTGTCTTCTTTTGGGACCATCACAAGGTACAGCTCTTGTAATTCCACCTTCATTTCTCTACTTGGAGGAACAAGCTGATCACACTTGCTACAGGAGCAATAAGAGGTCACTTAAGAGCCCTGTCACCAGCCTCAGGCTGGGTTTCCCACATCTGAAACCATGCATGTGTTGGTTCATAACAATCTCACTGGGCAGCCCTATTCCCAACCCACTCCCATTAACCAACACTTACCATAGGGAAAAATCGTATTATATTCTCAACTGGATTATCTGCAATATCCAGGACTAAATACCTGCAACGAGAACAGTCACTGAGCACACAGTAACACTGGAACCTGCAGGACACCAAGACAACCCACGTGGCTCCAACCACTGGGAAGAACACACACAGTCTTATCAATACAGAATAAGGTGTTTAAAATCAGACTATCAACTGCTTTCAGGTCAGCACACCACGTTTGTTTCTCACCTAAATAGCTGCTGGAAGTTTGGTTTAATAAAATTGGCTTCGATGTTTTGCCGTATGCATATTACATGGGTTATTCCATGCTTCTGAAGTATAGGTAGCTGCAAAAAAAGGAAAACAGATTTTTTTTTTTAGGCTGCTGAATCCGTCCATCACACGGCCATTAAAAGAAAAGTCATACTTTAATACATAACGAGTGACACCAAGTCCTCGAGGGAAATCAGAGCTGCTTTTCTAACACTCAAAGCATCGTGTGAAACAAAATGGGGATATGTGTGTTTAAAAAGACAAAACACCACCAACATGAGAATTTGCAAGAAAAGCATTTCTAACAACAGTAAAGGAGCAGGCAATAAAGGTGCTCAGGGAACTCCTTCGTGCCCCCCTTTTGCTTCCCCTGAAATTATTTCCACCTCCCCCCCACCCCAAAGTAACCCATTAGCACTCAGGATCATTAAATAAATGCAGCTTCTGCAAGTGTCTGCAGGGCTGCAGTGTTCTGATCCTCTCTGGAAAGAGGAAGGAATCAATACCAGCCCCCCAGGGCTAAGAAATCAGCCCATAAATGCACCATGTGCTGCCTGCACCCTGCAGGGAAGGTGCCACAGGGCTGTGTGAGTGCTGTAACCACACACACACACACACACACACACACACACACTTGGACGTACCACCAGGCAAAGCTCCCTTGGGAGATACTGTTCTGAAAATCATACCTTGCTTTTCATAGCTGAAGAGTATGGGCCTAAAAATAACCCAGGTAAAATTTCCTAGGGGGGGGGCAGAAAAACAGACATTTAATATCAAGGCAACAGGATTTGAAATAACACACTGCACTGCACTCAGACCACGGGCAGGGAAACAAATAACTCAGATGTTAGTGAGGGACATCACCCAGCCACACCTCCCGTGGGACAAGGGGACAAAGTCAGTTTGGCAAAAATAAAAGCAACATGATCTACATGCAGACGATCTTCTTGTGGAACAGGAATTCGGTCCTTCATTTGGAATAAATTCCAGTTTGATTACTACCAGCCCCAGAACTCAAGTTAAAAAGCAAAGCTGCAGTATGTAGTTCTAGCAAACACCTCCTGCAACACTCATGGAGACAAGACTTTGATCCTTGAGGTCCCTTCCAACCCAGGCCATTCTATGGGAGGGCTGGAGCAGCTCTCCTATAAGGAAAGGCTGAGGGAACTGGGATTGTTTAGGTTGGAGAAGAGAAGGCTGTGGGGAGACCTCATTGTGGCCTTCAGTGCTTGAAGGGAGCAGACAAACAGGAGGGGAACGGCTGTTTGTGAGGGTGGATGGTGATAGGACAAGGGGGAATGGTTTTGAACTGAGACAGGGCAGGTTTAGGTTGGATATGAGGAGGAAGTTGTTCAGCCAGAGGTGGTGAGGCACTGGAACAGGTTGCCCAAGGAGGCTGTGGATGCCCCATCCCTGCAGGCATTCAAGGCCAGGCTGGATGTGGCTCTGGGCAGCCTGGGCTGCTGGTTGGCGACCTGCACACAGCAGGGGGTTGGAACTGGATCAGCACTGTGGGCCTTTGCAACCCAGGCCATTCTGGGATTCTATGACAAACTACAGCGTTTGTACTTTGCCCCTGAAGATCAATCCTGACAGCAGCTTTTGTTTGTAGGGCGCTTTCCTTTTCACACAGAGGGCACCGAGGGTTTTGACTTGAACAAAAAAGGAAAGTGTGCCATACCTGCATCTCTCTCCTCATGGGATACGTCCAGTCCTTCAAAGAAAGCAAAAATAGTTCTGTGAGCAGAGGGAGGGAAAAACACAGCCAAGCAGAGATCAGATATATGAAGACAAGGCCGTTCTCTGTAGGTTGCACAGTGCTTATGCCCTGTGTGGGTACAGGAACACCTGACTGTAAGGCACAGCACCCTCACTGCACAGCGATGCGCTGCAAAACTCGAGCTCTGTTCTATGGAGCAGCCAAAGCTAACGGGGAAAACCCTGCAGCAAACCCTGTTTCTGTCTTCCCTTTCTTACAGCTCCTGCTGCCCTCATCCCACAGCCATCCCAGCACAACAGATCCCAGGACAGCAGGATGGTATTTGAGGAATGGGATCTTTTGGAAGGTTGACCTGAGGGTGTGTTAGCACAGTCCTGCTACTGCACTGCACGTGGGGCAGCACAACGTGTTCATCAGAAAGCCAGGGAATCCTGGGTTTGTCCAAGTATACAAATAGTGCCATGAGAAATCACTTCTGAAAAGCTGAAGTTACCCTGCAGGAGCACACAAGTGTGTCTACTACTCTATTTATATACTTGGAAAATTTACAGCCTTCATCTGGAGTGAAATGAAAACACGAATTCATCACCGCTTTGGTGAAGGGGACTCACTGTGTCCAAAGATTCCTCTCCACCACGTTGTGAGCAGGGAGCTGGGGCTCTCACCACAGCTGTGCAAAGCCAGGAGGCGAGAGCTCAACAGCACCAGGCCCAAAGGAACACAAAACCCAAAGCACAACAGATGCCACGGATGTTCAGAACAAGAATGGAAGTCAATATTGGTCTCAGACATTCGACTTGAGCACAGTCCAAAAACGTGCAGCTTCCCAGGGATTATTCTGCAAAGTAAGCATCTAAAAGATGCTATCTCAGATTAAATGCTGTCTTTATCCAAGGGCAGAATTGCTCTAGTTGGTGTCCATTTCCTGACAACACTGCAAGGCTTTCAAAATTAACATGATTAACGAGGTTATGGTATGCAAAATGATGCAAAATGCCCCCAGCAGAGCTGAGCTCTCAATTCACAGCTCCTCCAATCCATCACAACCACACTGCCTTTGCAATGCCATGTTGCCTTTACAATGCTCTCATGTCACTACCCAGAATTTGTTACCTGAAGTGATGTGATGAAGAGCAGAGCCCTACCAGCCACCTCTCTGCCACGTGGGAAAGCCTGAGCTGGCAGCAGAAAGGGAGCTGATAACACACCCATCCTCGCACTCTCCCTGGCTCTCCCATTCCATTTCCTTCTAAGAGTGCTCTAAGTCAGCTTCAATGGGCCAGCACTTTGAGGCTGACATTCCTTCTTTTAAGCTTCCCAAGCTCTTCCACCACAACTCCCCTGCAGTGCACAGGGACACAACAGCTGGATCAGGTTGCCCAGGGCCTGATCCAGCCTTGCCTTGAAAGCCTCCATGGATGGGGAATCCACCACATCGCTGGACAACCCGTTCAGTACCTCACCACCCTCACTACAAAAGACTTTTTCCTTGTTTCCAACCTAAATTTCTCCTCTTTGAGCTTGGAACCCTTTCCCCTTGTTCTGTCACCACAGACCCTGCTAGTCTGTCCCCTTCTTTCCTGCAGCTCCCCTTCAGATATCACATCACCCTGGAGCCTTCTCTTCTCCACGCTGCACAGCCCCAGCTCTCAGCCTGCCCTGTTCCATCGCTGGGACCATTTTTATGGCCCTCCTCTGGATGCGCTCCAACAGCTCCACATCTCTCCCATACTGAGAATCGTATGCTTCTGAAAACACAAAGACCTACCAAAGCAGCGAGGGCAGAGCTCTGCTTACACGAAGCACGCGGCCAAACGGCAGGGCTGCTTCATTTTTTGGCTTTGTCGTACGGAAACTGAGAGTCCTGCGAACAAATTCTATCAGTACCAAGCAGACAGAAGGATGACATTCAGACCACGACATCAGGACGGCTGGACACATCCCTTCTCACACCCTCTCTGCTCATAGGTGAGCCGGGCCCCAGCCTGCTGGCATGCTGACAGAGCCATGGGTTGAAGCATCCTCTGCTCTGCTTGGTGGGCAGGCAGAATGCACAACACCACAAGGCCTTCCTACTTCTTTTCCAAAGCCTGCAGACGAGAGGGAGAGCTGTAGTTTTTGTTAAGGGGTTTTCTAGTGGTTGTAAGAGGAAGAAAGCTCAGGGAATTTGTTCCACCTTTAGTCAGTCTGTGCCGCCGCACTGTTTGAAAGCAGTCAGATATCAGGTAATGCTTTGGGCTAAATATAGCAGAATGGAAATGAACATTTCTTTAAAAAAGCATGTGCTAAAGAGAGCTCGTTTGTACATGCATAATAAAAAAAGGCAAATTGACTACTTAGCCACCTCGCTGATAATTCCATTACTGAAAGCACGGAGAGCCTCGATCACAAATACTAGATTATGCTCAGCCTGCCTGCAGGCAAACACACTGATGTTTAAAGAAAAATAATAAACTGGCAATTACTGCTGTGCTCCCATCACATATATCCCACCACTATCATTCTTCATTTAAGGTTTCATAGAATCCTAGAACGGCCTGGGTTGCAAAGGCCCACAGTGCTGATCCAGTTCCAACCCCCTGCTGTGTGCAGGTCGCCAACCAGCAGCCCAGGCTGCCCAGAGCCACATCCAGCCTGGCCTTGAATGCCTGCAGGGATGGGGCAAATTATTTCAAAGGATAACAATAATTGACATTAAATTCCTTGAACCATCCCAGCCCTATGCCATCTCTCCAAGCATGCTATGATGTGGTTGCACCCATACACCAGCAGGCACTGCTACCAACCTGACCTTCTTCCAGCTCCCTCAACTCTTGGAAAGGGGAGATAACAGCAGGACAAGGGGAAATGGTTTGAAGTTGAGGGAGGGCAGATTTCAGTTGGATGTCAGGGGGAAGTTGTTTGCTGTGAGAGTGGTGAGGTGCTGGAACAGCTGCCCAGAGAGGCTGTGGATGCCCCGTCCATCCCTGGAGGTGTTCAAGGCCAGGTTGGATGGGGCCCTGGGCAGCCTGGGCTGCTCTGAAATGTGGAGGTTGGTGGCCCTGCGTGTGGTGGGGGGTTGGAGCTTCATGATCCTTGAGGTCCCTTCCAACCCAGGCCATTCTATGATACGATTCTGTGATTCTTAGCCTTTACAAGTTGGACTTGAAGAGCCTCATGAGTTCCTTCCAACTGGGGACATTCTGTGACTCTATACGACAGGAGAGGCGCAGTGCTTACGCCCTGTGTAGACAGAGGAACACATGAGTGCAGGGCACAGCACCCTCCCTGCACAGTGATGCGCTGCAAAACTCGAGTTCTCTTTTATGGAGCAGCCTTCACACAGGGAGAGAAATGCCAGCATTCCTGAGATTTACGGAATTTTTAGGCCACACCTAACCAATCTAAGCACAGAAACCACTTCTAGGCTATGTACGATCACTGTTACCCATAGGGTTTGACACGTTTCCTGCCACTGATCTATAAAACAACGTGTGTCGTTACAGACACTCAGAGCACCTACTGGAAACCCTCAGCAAGAACAAGCTACATTTCCAGTGTCCAGCAATTAAAACTGAAACAACCCAGCTGGTATAAGGACCTGTAGAAAGGAGTGCAGCTCTCAGCACGGGCTTACCAGTGAGTAAGGGAAGCTGGCTTCTCCGGGCTTCACCAGCTCACACTGCAGGGCTGGACAGGCAGCCAGGCTGCAGCTGGGACAGCAGGACTGGGAGAAGCTGACACAACAACCTCACAGCAACACGTGGCAGACAGCAGCACGTACCTGTCTGTGCCTGACCTGTAGCAAACATGCTTTCACCGCCCGAATGAGCCTTAAGTACACATGAGCTACAGGAAAAGAAAGCGGCACACGTCACGGGGCACTCAGAGCAAACTTCTGGTCTGTCAATTCGGCTGATGTTATCGGGTCTGGGATGAGGAGGAGGCAGGCAGGGCTCCCTCCAGCAGCCACATTCCGGCAGCGTGTCTCAACACAGCATTTCACAAACTCCTACAGCTACTGCTGGCTGAGGCCAGGAGTTCAAAATCCACAGAAATCACAGAACGGCCTGGGTTGCAAAGAAGCACAACGACCATCTGGTTCCAACCCCCTGCTGTGTGCAGGTCGCCAAGCAGCAGCCCAGGCTGCCCAGAGCCACATCCAGCCTGGCCTTGAATGCCTGCAGGGACCCACACTACACATGGATTAGGGACATCGCAAACCACCTGCAGGGCAGAAAAATCAGTCTGTTTAGCTACAGCACCTTGCTGCTTAAGCCAACCCAACCACAGGCTGCCGTCAGTCACCCAGCAGACGGCCCTGCCCACTCTCTCACTCATCCTTAGGCCAGCACTACAGCAAAGCCGTGCAGGCAATCCTATCAGCTCACCAATTTGGCTTTTTGGGTTTGTTTCTAAAAGATTTAAGCTGTCCCATGGTTCCCAGTGTCAGCTAGAACAAAGGGGCAGGCACTGGGACCACCTTAATGTGAGCACAGAGCTGCACTTGGCCTTGAGCAGCCTACAACAGGACCACAACCAGGCACTGCCCGAGTTCACCCTCTTTCCCATCAATACCTCAAAGTCCAACCTACCAAAACAGCACTACACCACACACAGCCATCCTCCTGCAAACAACGCTCGCGTGCTTCTCACTAAAGAGCCTCCTGGCAGCAAGATGCAGGGCTCCATCCTCAGCTCTCCGTCAGTCTGGAGGCAGAACTGCTTCAGTTTCCTCTGAATGCTTTTCCCGGGCATCTTCTCAAGGGCTGTGCTGAAGGCCCGGGGCTGACAGCTCTCCCCCTTTGCTTCAGCAGCTCTCGCACAGCCAGCCTGGATATCCTCACACCGACCACAACTTTTCTGCTTCCCTGCACACTCCGGCTGCAGCGCTGGGGTCACAGACACAAAGGTAAGCGCTGAAAAATGAAATAACTTACAGGTCTTGAACACCACCACTGAAATTCTCCACTACGGTTCCGCAGAAATGGAAGCTCTACCATTACACACGTCGGGTTGTTGAGAGAGAGATTACGGAAACAAGAAACAAACCCCGCTTAGCACGGCGTTACGACCCTGCTTTCAATGAGAAACGAGTCCTACGAGCAGCGCACACTTCCCATCAGCGCAACTCATCCCTTGCATGCGGTAACGGACCTCCCGCCTGCGGGACGCGGAGCAGCGGCGGTGCGTGACGGCACGGCGCCGCTATCAGACACCGTGCTGAGCCGTGCCGAGCCGTGCCGAGCCGAGCGGAGCCGGCCGGCAGCCGTCCGGAGCCACGGCCCGCGCTCGGGCAGCCGCCGGCTCACCAACTCGCTCCTAAGGCAGCAAACGCCAACCGTCGGACGGGGGACGCGCAGGTGCTCGCCGGCTTCCAACCGCCCAACCCGGCCGGCCGCAGCTCGGGGGCTCCCCGGGCGCACGCGGAGGCCGAGGCGGGCCCGGATCGCGGCCCGGGGCGGGGAGAAGCCGGAGCGCAGCGCGGGGCCGGGCGGCGGAGCGGCGGAGCCGTCGGTCGGGTGCGGAGATCCCGCGGGCGGCGCCCCCCCAAGCCCGGCCGGGCCGCCCTACCTCCGAGTCCTCCTTGGCCTGCGGCAGCGCGGGGAAGGCCGGCTTGGCGAGCTCCATGGCCGGGCGCTCTCCGGGCGAGGCGGGGCCGGGCGGGGCGGCTATTTGGGCAGCGTCCCGGCGGGCTCCGGCTCGGGGGCGGCGGGGGGAAGTGGGGGAGGCGGCGGCGCTCCCAGCCGCTCGCTCCCGGCCGCCATGCTGCCGCCGTGCCGCCGCCTCCTCCTCCTTCTCCGCCTCCTCCGCCCCCGGGCCCCGCCCCGCCATCCCGAGGGCGGCGTGAGGAGCGGCGCGGCCCCGCGCTGCCGCCCCTTCCGAACCGCCCAACCGCCAGCGCCGTCCGCCCGGCACCCACAGCGGGGCCGGCACAGCGGGACCGACAGCGAGCCGTGCGGGGCCGGGACCGATTCGAGCCCCGCGTGCCGAGGCAAGAAGGGCTTTCCAAGTGAGAGCTGGGCCCGTCCCACACCTCCCACTGCCTCTGCTGTGCTCCAGAGTGATCGCAGAACGGCCCGGCCTGGAAGGGACCTCAAGGATCACGAAACTCCAACCCCCCACCACACGCAGGGCCACCAACCTCCACATCTCACAGCAGCCCAGGCTGCCCAGGGCCCCATCCAACCTGGCCTTGAACACCTCCAGGGATGGACGGGGCATCCACAGCCTCTCTGGGCAGCTGTTCCAGCACCTCACCACTCTCACAGCAAACAACTTCCCCCTGACATCCAACCCAAATCTGCCCTCCCTCAGCTTCAAACCATTTCCCCTTGTCCTGCTGTTATCTACCCTTTCCAAGAGTTGACTCCCCTCCTGTTTGTAGGCTCCCTTTAGGTACTGAAGGCTGCAATGAGGTCACCCTGCAGCCTTCTCTTCTCCATGCTGAACAAGCCCAGCTCCCTCAGCCTGTCTTCATAGTGGAGGTGCTGCAGCCCCTGATCATCTTTGTGGCTCCTCTGGACCCTCTCCAACAGCTCTCTTTCTTTCTTGTACTGGGAGCTGCAGACCTGGGTCTCACAGTGATGGGGAACAAAACACTGCCACAAAGGTGCTACTCAGCGCTTTTTTTGCAGCAAACCAAGGGTTAACCTGACATGCTTGTCTGTCAGCCAAGCGTGCCTGAAGTAATCCAATTAGAATAATGAGAAGGAGCCAGAAGTACAGCCTGGTGCACTGCTGCTCCAGTCCATGACTGTGCTGTGCACCCAGCTCCACACACAGCCCTGTGAGCAGAGCCCGTCAGGATAATGCACACTGATAAATGGCGGTAAGGAAAAGAACATCTTCACCAAGGCTTCTTTTCTGTCTGAATGATCACTCAAACAGCTGCAGAATTGCTAGTGAGCAAAGTCAGCCTCGCACAAGGCCAGATCGCAGCCCTGCCAGACACACACAGCAAGGGCAGCACTGGGACAGGTTGCCCAACGAGGTGTGGATGCCCCATCCCTGCAGGCATCCAAGGCCAGGCTGGATGTGGCTCTGGGCAGCCTGGGCTGCTGGTTGGCGACCTGCACACAGCAGGGGGTTGGAACTGGATCAGATTGTGCTCCTTTATAACCCAGGCCATTCTAGGATGCTATGAAAGCACACTGGGATAAGCTGATTTAAACAAGTTTTATTCCATTGTTTGATGAAAGGAAATTTACTGATATAAAAAAAAAAGTCAAGAAACGAACTTGAAGTCTGCTAAACCACGAGGCAGGTTTATACACTCACACCGCAGATGCTATGAGAACACACCTCCACACCTTTACTTAATCTGGGCTGTAATGAATTTTGTATTTCAGAATTGCACAGAAAACACTTTTGTAGCCCCACACTTGCAACCAGTGTTACCAAACTACTAGCTACATGTTATACAAACACCTTATGAGAATAACCAAGAGGTATATTATTTCTCTCTTTTTATACATTAACCCAGCACGCCCTGCACAATCAATCACAAATGGCACGGTTCATTTAAACAGGTTTGTAGTCAAGCTTGGACTCCAGCTTCTTGGAATCAGCCACTTTTCTAACAGCCTTCATGAAGTCTTCCTGAACTACAAAGTCATGGTCAGCACGGATGGCAAACATACCTGTAAGATATAATTGGGAGGTAAGTAGGTGCTCCTTGAGAAGATGGTGTTCAAATGAAAGCAGAAGGGATCTGTCTTACACCCTGCACAAACCTTTACACATATCTTTTATGCAATTAATGAAATAAACCTCCAGGAAAAGAATGAAACCATCCTTAAGAAAGGGATACACAAAGCAAGTGTCAGCAGAACACTCCCAACTTCCTGGTTTTAATCCACTCACAGCAGTGTGTGGAAAACAGTTGGAGTGATGAGCAACAATCAAACGAGCCCAGCAAAATTAAAAGAGTACCTGCTTCAGTACAGACGTTTCTTAAGTCCGCTCCATTAAAGCCATCAGAAAGCTTCACAATTGCTTCATAATCTATTCACAAAACACAGATGTCAATCAGAAGTAAATTCACATTTCTCCATTGGATGCAACAGAAATACATGTCCAGCTAATAATGGAACACAGCTTGGAGAAGAGAAGGCTGTGGGGAAACCTCATTGTGGCCTTCCAGTACTTGAAGGGAGTGGATAAACAGGAGGGGAAACGGCTGTTTGTGAGGGTGGATGGTGATAGGACAAGGGGGAATGGCTTTAAAGTGAGACAGGGGAGGTTTAGGTTGGATATGAGGAGGAAGTTTTTCAGCCAGAGGGTGGTGAGGCACTGGAACAGGTTGCCCAAGGAGGCTGTGGATGCCCCATCCCTGCAGGCATTCAAGGCCAGGCTGGATGTGGCTCTGGGCAGCCTGGGCTGCTGGCTGGCGACCTGCACACAGCAGGAGGTTGGGACTGGATCAGCACTGTGCTCCTTTGCAACCCAGGCCATTCTAGGATCCTGTGATTTCAGCTGACTAGGCTGATAAGTTACATCAACTGAAATAATCAGCTATATTAACCTGTCCATTAACAAATAAATCTGAGCTGAAAGTTCATATTATGTACTTAAATCCCAGTGTTACTGATTTGGATATTACAGGCATCAACATGAAATGCAAGAAAATCCAAATCAAGTAAATGTTCAAATCATCATTTAAACAATTAAAAAAAAACAAAAAAACTTAAATCCAAGCAATCATCTCAGTCCCTTTCCTCTTATTAAAGTGCATCTACAGAAGATATTAAGGCACCCTGGGATATGAAGCCTGATACTTTATGCATACATTTACCAAGAGCAACAGCTACGGTCATGATTTCTATAACAGGTTTTCAAAACGCTGTTTGTTGAGCTTTCAGTGCTGCACATCAAAAGTCATTTTTTAATCAGGTCTTTATCGTAGGGTTTTAATGCCATGCACACCCCATTTTGCTGATGAGATCATTCTGGACTTTGTTCCAGGAAGTCACAGCTGAGCACCACTGCCTTCCCATATGATGTTCAGAAGTTTAGCTAGTAACTCATTTACACCTCTCTATGGTAAATGGTATCAAGGAATGATCCCACCCTGCTTCAGTTTTAGATCCCAAACATACAGTGAAAGAGGCCAAAGTACATTACCCCAGGCTCATGATTTGCCTTGGAGCATCTTTTGTATCTTAGCCTACAGCCTGATGCACATTTATGCCAACAGCGCCGCTAAAAAGGCAGCCCTCATCACTCTCACCCTCCCCCAGCTCATCCCCACTCCTGAGCCACCCTCTATTGAGCTGCAGCTGTTTATGCAGCCAGATGGTGAACGAGATCAGTTCCACTATCCAGATCATGCAGCCTGGCTGATGAATAGCTCGTGTCAGCAACAAGGCGGGGGCGGAGAGGGGGTGGCACAGGCCTGGGAATAAGCAGGCAAGGTCTGCAGAGCCCTGCTGAAATAAAAGGCAGCCAACATTGTTTTCAAGTCAGATCACAGTTACAGCTTTCTTGAGGAAAGCTCTGAAACTCAGCTGTGAGAACACAGGCTGGTCAGCTTGGAGAAATCCAGCCATTAGATGAACCTCCCCAGATGTGTTACTTCTCCCCCGTGCTGTAGAGAATCCTCTACACCAGTAACCAAAGACAAGCTCATTTTCAGGTAACAATAAGGTTTTCATTGTGGCATCTCTAAACTCCAAAAGTTAAGTTTCTCTGACTTTTAAAGCTGCTTATTTTCAGACCACTGTGGTACAGTGGGTTTGTGGGGCTTTCTTTGGCTAAAGAAAATGCTGCTTGTTTGCATTACAGGAAACTACCTGACGAAAATCACGTCAGCTTACTGATTTACAGCTGTGCTCTTCCCATTTTTACAAGCTGAGGTAGAATATCCAGGCAGGATATCAATAATTATAAATACTTACCTATTTCCCCATGTTTAGTGATAGGACCTGCATGAATCTTCAAAATATCTAATCTGGCTTGTTCATTTGGCAGATCGATATCTGGAAAGAATTACAGCTTTAATAAAAGCAGCAGGGCATCACTCATACGCAGCCAATATCCTTTCAGGCACTGTAACTCACGGATCTTCCTATCCAGCCTTCCAGGCCGCAGGAGCGCAGGATCCAGAGTGTCTGGTCTGTTAGTAGCCATGATCATTTTCACTCTGTGCAGAGTATCAAATCCATCCATCTGATTCAACAGCTAGAAGAAAACAGAAGTTTGTATTTAAATAAGTCCAAACCCTCTAGCTCAATCTATTGCAACTTGCTTCCTGCATACATACTTGCACTCAGTTAATAAAAGTGGTACAGACAAACCAGAAAAACCGTGCAAGCCTTCTAAGAGAAGGCCACAGCTCCCTGTATAT